TCTGCACAGGGAGGCAGGGTACTTTCCTGAACTGGGGAGGAGGATTAGCGTTGCATGGCCTCCATCCCCAGCTGCACACATGACCAGCACCGTAGGAAAGCCCCCGAAGACGGCCCAAAAAGAGGTACATAAGGGATGAAGGGAGCAGGGTGAGACACGAACATCAGCTTTCTCCAATACTGAGGAATGTTGCAAGCCCTGTAAACTCTCCAAATGATCACTGTAACACACTTTCAACATCCCCCTTATTTCCGAGAGGCTAAGTTCTTGCTCTGCCAATTTTTTCTACAGTTCTTTCGTCTCTCATTGTTCAAAAGCACAAACACAGAGACATGAATTTCTTAACCTCAAACCCATATCTGCATCAGTAAACATCATCAGGCCGTTCCCACAGTATGTATTTATCTATAAAATGATCATTACAAATTACGATTTATACCATTTGTCGTCTTGTGGCTGAACACTTTGAGTCCAGGGAAGTTACTATGTAATCAAATGATTAATAGTAAAATGACATTTATAGAATGAACCCATGTTATCCCAGACATGTGTGTGCAACAAGACATTCTACTGGCAACAAACGAGGTTTCTGGCTCTCTCCCGTTGGCTGGTCGTTGGTGCCAGGTGATGTCACTTCCCATAGAATACCAGCGATCATCTGTCACCAAGATTTACCAGCTGTTGGAGCAGCGTGTTCCAGTTGCTGTTTCTTTTCACAACCTCCAGGAAGTCACTGCCCAGAGAGAAATAGTTCCAACACGTAAAACCACAACGTCTTGTTTTTACATTTCTGTTTCTGCACCGATTAAACAAGATTCAATGTGTTAATTAATAAGGAAGGCGTATTTCTGAGTTTTAGAGTGAACCAGGTCGGCTCCCCTTTTCCTCTTCTCATTTCTTCCTGCTTCCATGCTAAGCTAAGCTAAATGCCTCCAGGCTCTGGCTCCATAATTAATGCAGATATGAGAGTATAAATCCTCTCATCTAATTCTTGACAAGGAAGAGAATAAGCATATTTCCCAAAGATTCAACTATTTCTTTTCCTCTGGCTACATTATTTGTGTATTTATGGTTGTACTACAGTTGTAGAAATACTTTGGATTGTGGCCTTCAGGGTAATGAGATTCTTATGCTGCAGAACCCAGTGCATTTATGCCAATAGACAGCACATACAATTGAAGTCAGTTGGAATAAAACAAACTATTTCTATCTCAACTAAATCCATATTAGCTCATCTAGAAGTGAGGAAATCCAAACAAATTTCAAGAATCTCTCATGGCATGACATGGACAATGGGCTGTGAGATAAAAAGACAGATTCATGTATTCATGCTCAATATGCAGGTGTATTATTACTATTACGAGCCAAGACATTTTGCTTCTGATGTAATCGAATCACATACAAAATGGCTTGTGATTTAATTAATGGCTTGCGCTGTTGACGTGACTGCGAGTAAGTAACTGTGAGTTAATTATGTGGGAACGTGCAGCTGGATAAGCTTCAGCATATAATGTTGGAATAGGCCATTTCTTCGTGCCATTTTCTCCTAGCGTTGTGCCAGCGCAGCATGCCAGCAACAACAGTATTTAAAGGAGGGGTCAACAAATGAAGCTGCCAACAGGTCATTGCCACTACAGAAATACTCCTCACTTGAGAACCAGATTTTTTTTTAAACAAATCTCATTTAAAATTTGGTTTGCACACTTTGCCTCTGCACATGTGACAGTCAGTCACTTCCAAGAACATGTAATTTCAAAGCAGTTAGTAATTTCTGTGTATTACACATAATAAAATATGGCTCAAGAATATGGTTCATTTTGGTCTCAATAGTGAACTGAGAACGAGGGGACCAGCACAAAATCCAGTGTAGTTTCCTTCCACTTTCATCAGCACTCTCTGGTTTATCTCTCCCAGCAATATTGGCAACTTCAAGGACATTCCACGCACACCTAGGACGGGTATTGGACACTCTGCCATCAATTGAGTCTCTAAAGTGTTAGAGATTTTGTGGTGTGTTTTCCCATCTCACTGAACAGGCCTAAGTCGGTCACGCCTTGTGTGAGCCTCACAGCTCCATGCTGCAGAAACCCGCTGCCTGATGAGCAACACTGGCTCCATTACTACAGATTTATTACTCACCCTGCCACTAATCACATGCTCAGCCTCATCTGTCAGGAAGCAAGTGGTTCTATTGTCTTGACTGACAGTATAGGGACAAAAAAGCATGACAAAATGACATCAACAGCTATTTAGCTTGTACCACTAAATAAGTAGTGTCACTGCTTTCTCAAATTATCATGTCTCTAAATGTTAAGAAGCAAACACTGCCCCTCCTGTAGCAGTACCAGCCGACCAGCTGTTGCTGTTGTCGCGCTTAAAATCAGGGTTAGGGCCCCATCTAGTGGCAAGTCTTCTTGCATAATAGCTGTCTGAGAAATCACTAAAAAAACAGATTTCCCAAGCAGCATTAAGAGCTTTTAAAGTAGGACAGTGTAATGCTCCTCTCACATCCTGTCTTTTAGAGATGTTCTTATTTTGGAAGGAGCTTTT